CCCCAAAACCCCAAAACCCCAAAACCCCAAAACCCCTTAAAACCCAAACACAATGAAAATAGGATTTGATTAATTGGATTGGTTAGATGTAATACAACTTAGACTTCAAAGAATCAACTGGAATAGTCTTTCCTTGCTTGTTCTCTATCTCTCCTCAGAAGTATGCTAGCTTGTGAGCATATAAGACTGGCGAAGGCACCTTGATAGAAGAACCATAGTTGAAGTATCCATAGCATAGTCTGTAGCAAACTTCGTAGAGAGATTTAGTATCTATCGTTTCACTGCTGTAGAGAAGATGGAATCTGGTAGGCCCTTGAATTCCTTGTCTACTTCCATGAGGCACAATATAAAAGTCATATTCACTTTCTCTGACCACTCCAGAGTCGACTACAATTCCTCTTTCAGGGTTTACATTTCTTCTCCCATTCTTACAGAAGAATCTTGCACCACTAGTCTGATTAACAACTAGGAAGATTAAGTTAGTGTCTTTGTGGCCTTCCTTCTCAAGTGCATCCTTAATAGATCCGCATTCTGTACTCAAAACAGCAGGGAGTTGTGATTCTGAGACTCCATCTCTGAAGATAACTATTCTTTGAGGGACTCAGCCGTTCTTTTCTTTGAAAGCAGCAATCCCATTTATGACTGACTTACCAAATCCAGCACCAATGTCATCTCCTTCCTTGACCCAAGAGACTTCACTGTTGAACTTTCCACAGAATTTGTCTGTAGTTGAGACGAATGCTGCATATGAGCAACCCCTCTGCTTGCACTTCTTGAAGATGTCGATTCCACAGAACATAGTTGGTTTGTTACACATCGGCAAGTTATAGAATCCCCAAGGAGTCCCTCCAAACTTAGCATTGCACTGGATGAATAGCTTATTCGCAATACTCCTGATTCCTTTACCTCTGGATAGAGTATCAGCAAGGATCATCTGAGAGGGAACAGGGACTTCTTCAACAAGTATTTTCTTAAGCTCATGGTACACCGGGGAGGCTTTCTTCTTTCCCTGAATGACAAAGACCGCGAAGGAGATACCTTCTTGTCCTTTCAGTACACCTTCAATACCTTTCCTCCATGAATCTATCTTATCATCTGCAATTTTAACTTTTCTAGGAGCACAGCATGGATATCTAAAATCCCTGATACAGTTCTGCATGTCTCTAAGAAGAGCTTCAGCTTCCTTTGCAAATCTATGAGGGAAAAAGATAGCCCATTTACTGACCTTAGGCATATCCATGAGGTTCTTAATCTCCCGATCAAACTCTGGAGTCCTAGTGAGATCGATCTTCTGATCTTTATGAATCAACAATTGTCCAGGATGGAGCTGTACTGCATTGACTTCAAGCGGCTTATTAACAATAGTGACTTTCCATGTTTCCATCATTTGCTTTCATTTCTCATTATTGAGGAGGTGCTCGAAGTAAGTCTCAATTCTTTTGTACTTGACTTCAGCATTAGCGAAGAGGATGTCTCTCATTTCACGGGAGTTCTTAGCTTTCAGCTCGTCAGTGATTCCAGTCAATATACAGGTTTCTGGGATTAAGAAAATCTTGTTGTTCGTCCTCTCGTTCATGTGGACGAGTAGTGGCTGGTCAGGATCCTTGATCTCTACATTGTACTTTTCTTTATAGTAGTCAATGTAGGTCAACTCTCTTTTAGTACTCTTCTCTTGAAGAGTGAATTTGTCTTTAGGAGTGTGATCATAGTCGACTTCTTCAACTCTGTAGACCTTCTTGTTGTAATGGGTCATGACACCTCTGGCATTAAGCTCCTTAGCAATGTTATCTTTAGTATTTGTTCCTCTAGTACCCTTGATAACATCATATGCAGTTCTGTTCATGAGGAACTTATTAGTAGGGTTTACTGTAAAGAGAATACCACTTTGATAATTACTAAGAGAAGTAGCATATCCTGGCCAGCAATTACATTCTTTGAGGTCTCTTTGCCTTGAGGGGTCAAAGTACTTGCCAAACCCGACCTGGACCAAGCCACCTCTCTCCATGAGTCTGTTCAAAAAGATCTTGAAGAAAATGAGCATATCTACATCTTCCTTCTTGATCTCCTGTACCCAAGTGTATTTCACTTTGTACATAGTGTTGTCTTCGTCAGAGGGAGTTTTATGAATGTCAGTGATATCTGGATTGTTGATTAAAGCATAGGCTCAGTCCCTGAAAAATTCAACATGCCCAATGCTCTTCTCTAAGTCCCTCCTAGTTCTCCTAGCAAGCTTCCTCAGAAGTGGGGAGTCTTGAGGAAGACCTGGGTCTGTTTCCATTTTGTACTTATGGATCCTCTCTTCACCAGAGGGAGAAGTAAACTTGAAGCCGAAGTAGTTTGCAACAACTGTCTTTGGTCTTCCTAAATGACAAAAATTAGTAACAAATACATAAAGGTGAAATAAAAAGTAGGAGTGATAAGCAAGACAAAAAGGCCGTTAGAACTTTATAAAGAAAGATGACTAAGAATAGAGGAGAGACTTACCCATGCTGGCCAAATCGCTTCTTGAGGGCCTAGCAGTGATGGTTTCTTGGATTCCTTTTTCTTCCATTTGAAAATTTAGTAAATTTTTATAATTCCGATGTTTAAATACCATTCTAGGTCTCTGATCAGACTCACCACTCTGCAAAATATCTGATCCGTTTTTCAAAAGTTAGAGGTAATTTAGGGGTTTTGGGGTTTTGGGGTTTTGGGGTTTTGGGG